AGAGGTTGCAGTGGCATGGCAACAGCATGGTAACATGACGCTTGTGCCTCGCCCCCTCCTTTGCAGGGGGGGGGTGTCAGCTCCAGCTCATGCAAAGACAGAGCTGGAGTGAGGCAAAATGAGGCATGGCTACAATGCATGATCTGTTTGGTATTTTGAAAAATAAAACTTATAAATATACCTTATATAGGTATGGCCCTACAATATATTATTCAAATATAGCATGATAGGTCCCCTTTAAAGTAGGGCTGCTCAATTAATCGTATTTTAATCGCAATTACGATTGTGGCTTGCAACGATTACGAAAAACAACGTAATCGAAATAAAACGATTATCTTTTTATTGTTATTATTAATCTTTTTTTTTTTTTTTATTGGTTTTGCAGTTGAGTTATACTTAAAGTTCAGGGTAATCAACTGTTAGAAACATACAAAAAATTGTTCTCCAATAAATTGTTTTCAAATGAAATGGATAATCGTTTTTAATAATCGTGATATCAATTATTGACCCAAATAATTGAGATTATGATTTTTGCCATAATCGAGCAGCCCTACTTTAAAGGGCACAAGTGACTGGAGTGCAGAAATTCATGAAATCTTTATATATCAATAGAAACAAGAAAGTTGGCTTGTGTGAAAAAGAGCGAGGGAGAACAGAGCAGATATTCTCCCTGGCTCCTTGGGTACTTTGCTGCCCGCTGGCACTGTCAGAAGTAGGGCGCAAGTTTGAGGTGTAAGGGCCAAAAAGCTCACAGATAGAAACTGTTTTACACGGATGCTAAGCCTGAAGGAAATGCAGCTTTTTTTTAGAGCCGAGCAAACTGCAAAGAGCTGTTAGCGGTGTTTCAAAGTCACTGGGTAGCCTACTTTAGAAAAGAGATGGACCAGTTACCAGTGGCAGGGTGCCTAACCCATTTTGATTGAAAGAAGAACTAGAACTGGATATAAATACGGTATGTCAGGGTTAGGTGGTTAGCAAACAAGCACAAAGGCTACACAGCAATGGAAGAACAGCTGAAGTTAGCTTCTAGTTAGCTGAAAGTAACAATATCAACTTGTAATTGTTTTTCTCCGGAAGTTTTTCCTTGTACGATGTGAGGCTCTAAGGACAGAGGGTGTCGTTTTCTCATACTGATATTCTGCACAAACTGTGCTGTTGTATTTGCTGTAAAGTGTCTTTACTGTAGGGTATTTTTATTATATGTACAGCACTTTGGCTCGACCAAAAATCGTTTAAAAATGTGCTATATATATAAAACTTGATTTGATTTGTAATTGTCTTATACCATCCACACACATGGCATCTGATGGTTGGTGTCATCAAAGAGACATATCTGAGGACTCTTTGGGTAAGCTTGATTAAAAGGTTGGGAATAAGTGCTTTAGTTTGCAGGACTCTACTGTTTAGCGACACAGTTTCTAAGCCACAAAAATGAGAGCTTGCATCATCACTTGGGGGCAGAAAAAAAGCTAAGCATCTGCGAAAGTATAAAAGGATTTAACTTTCTTAAAAGCATGTCACTGGCACCAGCGTTCAGTCATGTGCCCAGAAACATTGCCTTAAGGACTTGGGTATGCACGGTCATGAATAATATATCTCACGTAGATTATAGCCTTCAGGCTGCTGTATGGCGTTCAGCGCACCACACTGGGTCTTCTCCAAAGCAATGTGTCACATCCTCAGCCTTATATACGGCTTTGTTTTCCAAACATTGTTCCTCTCATTATCATCACCATATGCTGCTAGCTTTGTCTTCGCTCATTAGCACATCGACGCACTCCCATTTAGAAAGAGATAGTGAAAGAGAGCGGGCACGATGGAGAGTGTGTCGTGAAATGCTAGAGAGACACTGAGAAATGGGCTACAGAGAAATTTGTGCAGCCAACTGTTACAAAAGCTATCGCTGAGTAATCCTCATGAGGGATGACCATTAAACAGATAGGAGTGCGATGCAGAGAAACCCTATTATTGAAAAAGTCGTGGAAAATGGCGTAGGGAAATGAGAGCAGCTTATCTACCCTTAATTTTCTCTAATCCTTTGAAAACACAATAACTCCCGTGGCCAGCTTTTTATGAAAAGACCCACGTCATGCATTCCTCATTTCGAGGTGCTATCGATCTCCATTATTCCTCTCTCCTATCGACAGAGGAAGCTAAGCAACACGACTCAACATCCATTTCCTTCTTCTGTTGTCTTGTCAAAGGACAATGTGTTGAATCCCACAGGACATCGTTAAAGGTAGTGACTCAATCAATAATTAGATACCCTCTGATTTAAAGACCTGTATGAACTAGAAATGTCTCAGTTCAAGGGAATTGCTTTAAAAGTGTATGGCAAGAAATAAACAAGGTGTCGGTGTCAAAACAATTCTGATATTTACTATACATGTCCCTTGAGATGCGTCCTTTGAACATATTTCCTTATTTTCCTTCCACTGCTTCTGACACATGCTGTACACTAGGACAGTTGCTGTTAGATTTGTTTCCGTATCCAACTTCTAAACCGTAGCAGATGGGGTTATCCATTTGTAACGGTCTCATAATGTGTCATTGCAGCTGACTTCACACTCGTATTTAAACGGAAAAATAATCTACCTTGTGGCATCTACACTGCACGAGTGGATGGAAACAGCTCACACGTGAAGGGCGTTCGAGCAAATGAAATGCCAAACAACACCTCCGGATAACAAGACCCGTTTATCAGACGCTTTAAAACTATAAGGTGTGCACTGCTGAGAGCTGACAGATGTGTGGGAGAAACAGAACGCGCTCAATGGGGTTTGGTAAGAAAAGCTAATGAGATCTGCAATTATATATCAACAAGAAATCACACTAAATTGACCTTCCTGCTTATTAGGCAGGCAACAAATAAATTAGCAGCATGATAGACAATCAATAGTATATGTTTTATGACTAGAACTGGGATGCTAAAATGATAATTGAAAATCAAAATGATCAGAAAACAATCATGAGGGAAAAGTTGATCTGACTTTAGTTCTCAACAGACACCTGAACTCGGGGTATTTGTGAATACCAACAAACATTACATTACATTTTTGCAGGCAATGTGGACTTTGAAGCTATTTATTTTGCTACTGCAATCACCCTTGCATAACATATGAACCCAATGAGTTGCTGGATGCAGATTTAGCAGAAGTCTGTGGAAAGAATACAGCCATGGTACCAGATCAGTACTTGGATACACTAACCAAACATTGGACTGGTGCATATATGAAAATATTCTTTCCTCACTACATTATTCCCTCACCTGGCCCCTATGAGGTGTAAAATGAATATTCCTTTCTTCATTGTCTCAAAAAATAGATTTCAGTCTCTTTATTTCGTTCGTGCCTCGGCCAGTCATCTCTGGTGTCTACAGACCGGGTGTTCCTCCTCATGACGGGGCCCATCAGTCACCACAGAGAGGAAGACAGGCAGACAGCGAAAACAGAGGAATAAATACCTGCTCCACTAAAGCACATGATTGACAACGAGGAGCCCCTATTCATCACGATGATGAACACTCGAGGAAATGGAGCAGCCACAATAACATCTGGGCCCATTGTTTTTCCTCAATGATCTTCTGTCTCTTCGCAGGAAAACATTCCACTGTAAGTCATGGCCTGATTGTTTGTGAATGTTTTCCAGATCAAAAAAAAGTCTTAACTTATTCTGTCCTCTCTCTGAGTTTTCTAGAGGTCGTTTAGAGCTTCCTGATTGGCAGGATGCTACCACTGCAGTATCACCTTGACTTACTGAGCTCCACTGTTTCCCCCCC